AAAAATTTTCCGTCCATGATAGGAGTCTTTTTTTCTCCCTGTACATATTTGTTTTTTTGTTGTTGTTTTTTTGGATACCCTTGCACCTACACTCACTCCACATTTGCCCTTTTTATTGGTTTCTTTGGGGGATATCTGCGCAATTACTCCCTAACACGAGAGTTGGGGGGTGAAAAGTGGGTGACAGATGCAGGACCAAATTGCCAATCAACAACAGCTGTGTACTGCCTCTCTGACTCCCTATACAGATATCACGCAACCTGCCTTTTATTTGCATTTTCCAAAATTTCTCATTTATTTTGTGACCTTTTTTTTTTTTTTTTGCGCATTGTGTCTGTTGGATCCTAGAAGAAGACGGCCATATTTGAAACACCGTGTATAATAACGATAAATAGAGTCTCTGTGTAGCTTGGAACTGTTCCCGCACGAGAGCATTAGCATTTTTTTTTTGTGTGGCGGCGCCACGGTGCCGGATTGTAGAGTACACCATTGTACCACTCAAAAGAGTACTTGGAAGTTTTTTTGGGTAGGCGATGGATTCGCCTACTTCGTTTGAGGCAATGACAGCATCAACAGTCAGAAATGAAGATTCACCGCCGCACAAAACCATGACTAACGCAACGGTAACCAAGGTCTACACAGCTTCACCCACCTTAACGCAGACCGAGAAAAGGACGGGCACTCCAGCTTACACTGCGTTACCCACCTTAATGGAGGCTGAGAAAAGGACGGGCACTCCAGGTTACACTGCGTCACCCACCTTAACGGAGACCGAGAAAGGGACGGGCACTCCAGCTCACACTGCGTCACCCACCTTAACGGAGACCGAGAAAGGGACGGGCACTCCAGGTTACACTGCGTCACCCACCTTAACGGAGACTGAGAAAGGGACGGGCACTCCAGCTCACACTGCGTCACCCACCTTAACGGAGACCGAGAAAGGGACGGGCACTCCAGCTCACACTGCGTCACCCACCTTAACGGAGACTGAGAAAGGGACGGGCACTCCAGCTCACACTGCGTCACCCACCTTAACGGAGGCTGAGAAAGGGACGGGCACTCCAGCTCAAACTGCGTCACCCACCTTAACACAGACCGAGAAAAGGACGGGCACTCCAGGTTACACTGCGTCACCCACCTTAACGGAGACTGAGAAAGGGACGGGCACTCCAGCTCACACTGCGTCACCCACCTTAACGGAGACCGAGAAAGGGACGGGCACTCCAGCTCACACTGCGTCACCCACCTTAACGGAGACTGAGAAAGGGACGGGCACTCCAGCTCACACTGCGTCACCCACCTTAACGGAGGCTGAGAAAGGGACGGGCACTCCAGCTCAAACTGCGTCACCCACCTTAACACAGACCGAGAAAAGGACGGGCACTCCAGGTTACACTGCGTCACCCACCTTAACGGAGACCGAGAAAGGGACGGGCACTCCAGCTCACACTGCGTCACCCACCTTAACGGAGGCTGAGAAAGGGACGGGCACTCCAGCTCACACTGCGTCACCCACCTTAACGGAGGCTGAGAAAGGGACGGGCACTCCAGCTCAAACTGCGTCACCCACCTTAACACAGACCGAGAAAAGGACGGGCACTCCAGGTTACACTGCGTCACCCACCTTAACGGAGACCGAGAAAGGGACGGGCACTCCAGCTCACACTGCGTCACCCACCTTAACGGAGACTGAGAAAGGGACGGGCACTCCAGCTCACACTGCGTCACCCACCTTAACGGAGGCTGAGAAAGGGACGGGCACTCCAGCTCACACTGCGTCACCCACCTTAACGGAGACTGAGAAAGGGACGGGCACTCCAGCTCACACTGCGTCACCCACCTTAACGGAGACCGAGAAAGGGACGGGCACTCCAGCTTACACTGCGTCACCCACCTTAACGGAGACCGAGAAAGGGACGGGCACTCCAGCTCACACTGCGTCACCCACCTTAACGGAGACCGAGAAAGGGACGGGCACTCCAGCTTACACTGCGTCACCCACCTTAACGGAGACTGAGAAAGGGACGGGCACTCCAGCTCACACTGCGTCACCCACCTTAACGGAGACTGAGAAAGGGACGGGCACTCCAGCTCACACTGCGTCACCCACCTTAACGGAGACCGAGAAAGGGACGGGCACTCCAGCTCACACTGCGTCACCCACCTTAACGGAGACCGAGAAAGGGACGGGCACTCCAGCTTACACTGCGTCACCCACCTTAACACAGACCGAGAAAAGGACAGCCACCCTATCGATGACGGTGCCTTCTCCCGATCCTATTCCTGGTGATGAGTCTCGCGCTGATCCCACGAAGTTTATCCTTACCGTTTGCAGCATTTTCATTGTATTGTTTATTTTTATTATTGTTGTGGTGATTGTACGCCGCTTGCGTCGCAAAAAAAGGCGGGCTGGGAATAGAACATATGGCGGCTCAGTTGGAAGTAGCCATGGTGGTGTGCAGGGTGTCTCAAACCCGCTTGCCGGACCGCAGGAGCGGAGTGCATACCAAAGGGTCAAGCAAACTTATTCTTACCCTGAAACGCCTACACCGCCCGTGCGGATAAGTCAAGCGAGGACACCACAGATTGTCTTGGGGGGACAGCCTTATTTTTATCCTTACATGCCCGCACCGCCCGTGCGGTTGAGTGAAGGGAGGAGGCCTGACCTTCTATCAGAGGGCAACCGGGAGGCTTTCCGTAGCATCAGGATGCATCGAATAAACCACATGAATGGGGATGAAGCCACTCGATTCCACCTTCTGCGTCACGCAGAAACGGCGTCTGTGGAGTTTGGCCCCTTTGTGGACTCCGATAGCGATTGATCATCTGCCGGTGGCACGGCACTGATGGAGGCTTAGAATAAGACTAATGATGATGTAGTGCGGCACGGTGAGCAAACTGGCAGATGTGACGCTAGGCCGCACGGGAGGGTCAGACGGCGCGGCAATTTCCGCCATTACCGCGAGGGTCACGGTGTGGCGCTGGTTCATTGTTTTTAGCCATGTGATTATATTTAAGGCCATAGTTGTGCGGCACGAGGCCAAGCTCAATTGGGCATTTGTGTAAAGTTTTTGTGTTGCCTTCATTTGTAAATGTGAATTGTCAAGATTTATTGTTTTTTTTTGTAACAACTTCCTCGAGCGTTTTATTTTTGGCTAATTAACAACAGTTTGTTTGTTTGTGTCGTTCTCTTTTATATTTTTTATATATTTTTTATGAGGGTCCGGATGCATTCTCGCTGTAGCCGCGTAGTATTGGCCTATGCGCCCTGCAGCATTGTACGCATCATCTTTTCTGATGAGGCTACGAAGTTGTTTTGGTACCTATTTGTGTGGCTTTTCGTTTACTCCTCTCCCCTGTGTTTCATCCTCCTTCCACTTCCTTTTCCCTTTTTTTTTTTGTCTCCACCGCCACTATGCGCCGGGGCCGGGCCGATGCGTCCCTCGGAAGTAACTGAAGTGCATCCTCGTCATGCTTGAGGGCGCGGCAGCACTCAAAGCTGCGCGCAAGGGGCTCGAGGGGAAAAATGTGAATATTTATGAAGGCAATTTCCAGTCTTTTGTTGTGCGGTGCCACTGGCAGGGTTGGTGACTTCCTTGCTCTCTTGCCCACCGTGTCTCCCGTTGCTCCCTTTATGCTTCTTCCCACTGCCCTCTTTTTGTCTCATCGCAAGGAACAGATTCTGCGGCTGTTGCCGCATCGCCGTCACCTATTTGAGCTTTTTGCTCCCATGGAGGATGTGCTCACTGCGGAACTCGGCCCAGTGTCGGTGGGGCACCGCGCTGCACTTGGGGAGCTGAAGCGTCGCCTCGGTATCTGCCACACGGACTTTGACTGCTGGC